GATTGAATCTAGTTGGTAGCAAAATTACAAATGGAAGCAAGTAGCACATATTTTAGCTGTGACCCTGAAGCCCTCGGAGTGACAACACACTGTGTCTTTTGTTTTGCCAGCTGGCAAAGCTGCGACATTTCAGTGAAAACAACCCTTTGCATGAGGCAGTTGTGTGGGAATGGCCAATGGCAAACCTGAATGAGGTTAAAAACATGTTAACTGGCCACAACACAATTCCCTTTGTCCTCTCTCTAGTGGGCTTGCTTCAAATAGCTCCCATTGTTCGCTCCAGAACGCCTGCTAATCTGCTGAAATGTGCCCCCTTGGACAGCCAGGGGCTGTGGCGGTGGCGGTTCAACCCCCATAGAGAAAGGGGTAGGCAGATAGCCAGGGTGCCCAGAACGCTGACCATCTCAGCGTAGCAGTATTTTTAGTGGGTGCCGTTCTTAGAAAAGACGATTTTTCTCACATAATGGGTTAGTCTGTAATGAACAATAATTGAATTGGGTGTTGGTGTCGAAAGGCCTCTGGTTCAGGGACTGTCATTTGCTGCACGCAGTGACGAGCATAATGGTGCTGACCTGGATGGCTTCTAGGCATACCACGATGTAAGCATTAAATAATAATAGGCTGTTTCTAAAAACGCTCTAGGCCCGTAGGTCTCTGACTTTATGACTTGTTGCACTGCATCTACAACCCGGGCATACTTGGCAAAGCTCCTTTGTTGCTGTTACTTGATGTATTCCTAAAGGATTCTTGTTCTAATGCTGTAAGAAAACTCATGCCTCCTATGCTGCAATTGGAGAGCCACTTTTTTATATTATAGGCATTGTAGCCACAGCTCAAGCAAGGGGTGGCCAATCTTTTTCATACCAGAAGGCTCATCAGGGATCAAATTTGCCTCTGCACAGGTACAGCATAGAGGGTCAGTGTCTCTGGGAGGGAGCAGTTTGCCAGGAGTCCCACCTAACAGTTGTATTTCCAAAGCGTTTGAACAGTTGACTCAAATTAAATACGTAACCTTGCCTTTGTTGACAGACTCAACTGTGCATGTGCCTCAAGGCAGTCCCTATCTTTCTGTATTTATATAACTTTTAGCATGACCCTGAGTAGAGCCTTAGGATATTACCACAGTGCTACCTTACAGATTCACAGAAGTTTAGAGCTGGAAGGAACCTCGTGAGACCACTGGGTCCAGCCCCGCTGCTCTGGGCAGGAAAGACTGCTGGGGGCAAATAACCCCAGCAAGGTGTGCATCCAGTCTCCCTTTGAAGATCTTCAGGATAGGTGCCTGCACCACCCTTGCTGTGAGCCTGTTCCTGAGTCTGGTCACATGAACTGTGAAGAAGTTTTTCCTTATATCCAATCTGAAACCTAGGAGTTTGACCGTTGCTTCTGGTTTTCCTCTGGGGTGCTTTGGTGAATAGTTGTTCACCTAGCCACTGATGCTCACCCTGATGTATTTTGTAAGCTGCCACCAAATCCCCCCCAAAGTCTTCTCTTTTCTGGGTTGAACAGTCCCATATCTGTCAACCTTTTTTTTGTATGGCTTGCTCTTCAGGCCTCAAAGCATACTTACCACAATGGTAGTTGAAGTTTGCCAGCAGTTAGACAGATCAACCGCCTTACCTCTCCTTAGGAGTTATGGGAAGTGGGCAGCCAAAGATGCGATACAGGGGCTTCCTGATCTGTTCACTCTGCATCCCTATCCTGCCAGATTTGGCATTGTTAAAGCTGTTTGCAGTGGTGTTGGATTGCTTGGGACTTCCAGGAGAAGTAAATGGCTTCTTCTGGTAAAATGCCTTGCCAAGTCTTTGGTCCTTTTGGTAACTCTCCACACTTTGGTTTTCTGAAAGTGGAGACAGTTGGCTGGCGGCTCCCTGGTGGGATCCGAGTATCTAAGCCTCCGAGTGTAACTGCTCTGGCAGGCTGGAATGTCCCATTAGCTATTTTAGTTCCAGCAGCTTCTACGCCACGGCTACTGGGAAATCTATATTCGGATCAGTTGGCTGGCATTTCCTTTATAAGGAATAAGGTGACTTGTGCTAGTCGACTACACTCCTGGTGATAAGGAGGCAGTCATTTTTGGGTGCAACTAATATCCGTGGCTGGACTAGCCCAGTATAATAGCAGTCAATGCCAGAAGGACATAACATTACTGGAATCCTGGATTGTATCACTAACGGCTTTTGATCGTTAAGTTTGTAGTCTGCAAACTTGTCCTGTTGCTCTGTCTGGGACTTGTTTTCCTCTGAGGATGAGGTATTAAGTGTATGCTGTGGGAGTTGGTTTGGAAGGACTAATCATTGGAAACATCAGATGTGTTCATTTCTGTGGTTTTGGGTGCAGTGGTGAAGACCCAAAGGCCATTGTGCCAGTGTTGATTGAAATGCATCCTAGAACAGGGTGAGTTGCATCTTTTAATGTCTGTTTCATTATTATCTTCCTCATTAAACAGTGTAGAAAGGGTGGGCAGAGAAACATTCTTGTGTAAATTTTTCAGCATGGACTTGGGGACCCCAGAAAGCTGAACTCCTGGGACTGCCCAAATAGCCAGACTCTGTGTTTTGTTGCCTCACAAGACTCGAGAGGTTTTTCTGAGAGATGTCACTGCTTTGAAGCAGGCAGTTACAAGTTACAAGCCTTGGTATGAACGAGCAGCTGGGATGTGGGAGAAGGAGCATTTGTAAATATAGATGAATGTGGCTTTTTCAAGAGCAGAAAATAACAGCAAACACAGTGCTGGGGCCCAGCTCCGCCTGATTTACGCCTCCTCACGCACAGAATTTGTCCCTCGCTGCAGCGTTTCCCGAAGTATGCAGTGCTAAGGACTTGCTGTGGGGATGCAGAGTGCTGCCAGGACAAGCTCCCAGTGAAGCTGCCCTGCTAACCTAGCAAAGCTGAAACGGGGAGCGCAAAGCAGAAATGGGGAGGGCTGTTTGCTTGCAGGGGAGCTTAGCTTTCAAGTGCTTTTTTTTATGTTACACATGTCTTGCATTTAAACATATCCCTGCAAACCCTTACTTATAAGAGTAAAGACTCTTCTTGGGCCTGCTCCTGAGAGAAATGCTGGGCCCCCCCATAAACTCTGCCTTGTACCCTCAGTCCTCATTGATTTAAAGAGGAACTCTTGGATATATGCATCATTGGCCACTTTCTGGAAAGCATTGAGCTGGTCCTGAAAGATGGTTACTGCCGTCTGTTCTTTTGTTGATTTCAGTGGGTGTGGGGGGGCACACGGCACCTCACGGGCTGTGACTGGTACGCGCTGTAAAAGTGCCTGCAGCTGCTTTCTCAGAACTGTGGAGCAAATGCTCTCCAGTGCTGAGCCAGCATCAAGAAGACCACTGGTGCAGCAAGAGGAAGGATGTGCACAAGTGGTCTTAACCTATCAGTGGGTTCCTGTGATCCTAGGCTGACCTATGAGCAGTCAGCTGCTTGTGGCTCCAAGAAGCGATTGCAGCATGGAGGGATGCCCACTTCTTCCATGAATGCCACATATGGGACCTGACAAATAAGCCTTATGCTGGTAGAGCAGCAAAGAGCTGCCCTAGATCAGCTAGGGATCAGATTCTGGGTGGTGGTCACTCTAAAGGGCTTCTCCAATCTGGTTGTCACCTTAATGTGTGATGTTTTACTTCCTTGCAGAGAAGCAGAATCTTTCAAGGAGCAAGGAAATGTTTATTATGCCAAGAAAGATTACAATGAAGCATACAACTACTACACAAAAGCCATAGGTGAGAGTGACTTGGGGATGGTCATGGCTTGCTGAATCCTGTCACTGAAAATCAAAACAGGTTATGGATGTTATGTATGGAGCATCAGTGGAATGGGGTAGCCAGCAGCACTTGCTGAAACCTTTTTGTATTGTCACAGTCTTGGGCACATGTTAGTTATCCTTCAAAACTTCACTGGATTGACTGTAAAGGCTCATGAGAGATGGGGGTGGCTTTAGCACTGCAGAGCAGTATTTCTGCATCTGATCCACCTGTGTGGTTTGGCTTTGAGCTCCTTCAGGTTGGTGCAGTGGTGGGAAATAAAAGCATTGCTCTCTTCCCTCCTGTATGTGATCACTAATATTCCCCAGGCTGATCTGCATAGGCTAGCACACTTTATGTGATTTCTTATGTGTGCTTGAACAGTTCTTAACACAAGAGGTCCCAATTTGGCTCCTGGGGTGACCCCCATATAAAAGTATTTCAGGTAGTACCAACCTAAACTTGCAGCCAGGGAATAAGCATTTGAATTCAGTATGATCCCTCCAATGTACTTCACAATGCAAGTAGCTCTTCATATTATGTTAACCATGATGTAACTTTTCCACAGATACATGTCCTCATAATGCCAGTTATTATGGCAACAGAGCTGCCACCCTGATGATGTTGGGGAGGTTCCGGGAAGCACTAGGAGACTCCCAGCAGTCAGTCAGATTGGATGATTGCTTTGTAAGGGTATGTGAACAGCCATTTCGGTGCATCTCTTGCTTGTGTTTGGAACCCCGTGTCCACAGTTATTGCACTCACTTCCCACTGTCTTTTCAGGGGCACCTCCGGGAAGGGAAATGTCATCTCTCCCTAGGAAATGCCATGGCTGCCAGCCGCTGCTTTCAACGGGTTCTAGAATTGGATCATAAAAATACTCAGGCGCAACAGGAGGTAAGAAACACTCTTTCATCAGGGCCATGCAGGGGAGTGGAATTGAGAGCTGTGAGAGGCATTCAACAATAAATTGCAAATCAAATCCAGACTGGGTTAGTAGTCCTAGTCACTGTGTGTGGTGATGTAACAGGAGAGGTTAAATTAGCTGCAGGTGCTCAGACAACTTAGTCTCTCCAGGCTTCTCCTGAATATGGTCTCCTTATCCAAAAGGCCTGGGGGCTCAGCTGGTCTTTCGTTCAAGCACCTACTTTGAACGCCTTCAAGAGAAGTTTGGATGTTCATCTTGCGGGGATCCTATGACCCCTGCTGACTTCCTGCCCGTGGGCAGGGGGCTGGGCTCGATGATCTTCTGAGGTCCCTTCCAGCCCTAATGTCTATGAAATCTTTGAAATCCCTGGAAAAATGGGAAATTAGCTGAGCATAAGGAGTTAGTATTGGTTAGCATTAGAGTGGAGAGATGGGTAGAATATGCCTGCAGTCTTGCTGCTAGTCTTGTTTTTGGGCTATTGTTCACAGGCCTTTATTCCCAGGGGTATCAATCCAGCCTTGATTTGCCTGCATTGAAGTAGCAAGCTTAGCTTTGGAGTAGTGTTGCTCCCTGGCCAGTAATACTTCATGCTTTGGTTTTTTGAGGGCTAGTGGTTTAGCCCTATGGCGGAGTTGCAGAGCGATAGAAGATGACTTTTCTCTCCTATTTTTCAGTTGAAGAATGCCAGTGCTGTCCTGGAATACGAGAAAATAGCTGAAATAGACTTTGAGAAACGAGATTTCAGGAAGGTAAAATCAATACGCATGTTCTGTTTTGTAGTATTACCAGAAGCAATTTCTGTTCTGGCTAGTGGAACAAGAATTGTGAAATGCATGCACGCTCTCGTGCTTTTGCACAAATGTGCTCTCGCACACTGTTTCTCTGTATAAGCACAGGACCTTAGTTAGAGTGAGAGAAGGCAGTGATTCCATTTTCTGCTATGTAACACTCATGCTATGGGGGAAAAAATGGGCACCTTGTGAGCAGTATGAATCTAAATGATGTCTCTAACTGGTCTAGTACTAAATAGACAAAGAGAAAACAGGCTAATTGGCTTCACCTGAACCTTCTCGGCTCTTAATAGGCTTGGGTTGGACGTGACTGGACTGCTGGGTATCAAAGAGAGGGTTTTCCACTAGATTATATTCCCAGCAGCTATAGATCAAATATTGCTGCTGCTTTTTTTTTTTAATGCCCAGGATTCCTATCAATCAGCTGTCTTCATAATGACAGAGGAAGGTTCTTCACTAGTGTTCCATCAAGGATGTTTGGCAGGAGGTGCAGATCTATTAAGGGCATTCTCCAGTGTTGTTTCTAAGGGTCTCACACCCTTTACATGTATTGTGCTTTATAAGAGAGTTTAGTATGACAAAAACCAGATGGCTGCATGTTCACACTGCTTGTCATGCCAAAAAAATGGCTGATCAGACAAAAAAATGGTGGATCCTCAGGAAGAAAAATGTTGCTGTTCCTTTGTCACTGGATGCTTTGCCTATCACAGATTTAATGTGGATGCAGGTTCTGAGAGAGATCCCCAGTATCCCACTGTGCTTCACTCTCCCTTACCCCCATCCATCAAGGTGAGCTCTCAAGGATGCCTGCAGGAACTGGGGGTTGGTGTGCAGTGGTGGCAGGGGTTGATCAGGCAGTGCAAACCACCTGATAGGCCCTTGCCACACCATGGGTAGCTCTGTGTCCCATTGCTCATTAAAGCACCAGAGCAGAGACTGCCTGCTGCCTTAGCAGTCTCTGGTCTTGGGCTGCTGGCATCCAGGAACTTTTAAGGGCTGCCAGTGCTTTAACTCTTTGCACTGGTTCTGGCAAGCCTGCTCACTGACAGGCTTCTCTGGTGTAGGGGGAATTAAGGAGCAGTCCCTGTCCCCCCTTAGCTGACGAGTTCACCTTTGTGGCAGCTTTGTCATGGTCCACCCGTGGGTTGTGGCCACGCACCTTATGCTACATTCCTGTAGCTTAACAGAAATCCACCAGTATCCATAGTGCATCTGCCAGAGCCCTAATTCTCCCTCTATCCCCCATGGGTTGTGGCCAGATGGAGCTTGCACTGACTGATCTTAACAAGAATATTAGGATGAAATCTGAAATGCCAGTTTGCCCCTCGCCCCACACCTGCAAGTCGTGTACACATTCAGTAGCCTTTAGTGGATGTATGTAAAGTTAGTGCTTGGCCCAGGACAGGAGGCTTCCTTCCCTTCATTGTAAATTCGAGGTTTATGTTGTTTGGAAGCAGTTATTGAGGCCAAAAATGCCTGCAGGAGAGAGTCTTGAAGTCTGGCTCAGGATCCCATAATGGTAAATCCCAGCTCTGCCTCTCGAGTGCAAATTACAACTGGGATGTCTTGGACAACCTAGATTTTCTATCTACCCTGCCTATGTCTCGTGTTTGGGGTTTCTTCATCCCTCTCTTCTCCCTTTGCTAGGATGTATGTATGAAACAAAATCTTTGTCTCTGGAGAGCTGCTTCGGCTCCTTCCCCACCCAGAAGGCATCAGGGTCCTCGATCTGTAGCATCTCAGTGCTCCCCACAGCAACTAATTATGATGTTACAAATGAGGGATTGAGAGCCAGGGCATAGGAGCAGATGAACCTTAGTGGAACAATGATCCTGTTCTCATGCAGCTGTCCCCACCAGAGAAATAAGATATGGAAAAGACCTATTAGGTCACTCAGGCCACTACAGTCAAGCCAGTGCAAGATCGGTCCCTGCACTGTATCCTCTTGTGTATTGTCCAGTCTAGTTCAAGCTTTTTCAATCTATTGAATTTCTGCCATTTCCCACACACCCTAGCCATGGAGTGAGAAATGCAGGGAACACAGAAGCAGAATTGTTTTCTCTTCAGGTTCTCTTCAGAGCCCATCACCATCATGTTAGAAAGTGTAAAGGGAATGGGTTTTTTTTCTAGGTGTCCCATGTGACCTTCATTGGTATACGTGGTGCTGCATAACACCTCTTAGAAACACAGAGGGAGCTATAGATTTGTACATGTGAAGGGCCCGTAGAATCAGGATTTCTGTTGACTTACATTTACAGCTACTGACCATTCAAGCATCTGGGTTTTCACATGTCCATGTACCGAAGGGAAAAAAAACTCAACCAACCCAGCCAGTATGGCTGTGGTGATCTGGGCCTGAGGCTGTTAGCTTTGTTTCCATTTGCTTTTCTTCTCTCACTAGGCTGTATTTTGCATGGACCGTGCTTTGGAATTTGCTCCTGCTTGTCACCGGTTCAAAATCCTCAAAGCTGAGTGTTTAGCGTTACTGGGTCGCTATCCAGAAGCACAGTCTGTAGCAAGGTAGGAACATTCTTCAGATCTGGAATTGTCGACTTGCTAAATAATCACTGGGGCACAATGAGCCAGCAAATCTCAGCCCAGGATGAGTCTGTTCATCTTAAAAAGCCCTGAGTAAAGGGTTTGGGGGCAGAAGCACTGAGCTAATAACTGAAGTCTTTTCTAATACGAGGTGTGATTACAAGGAAGGACAGATGTTAGCATTTAGTGCTCTGCCATTTGGTCTCATTAGGCTACCCACTTAATAACCATGCTAGGTCCTTAATCCCAATGGGTTACTTACTGTCCTACTTAAACAAGCACTGCATTTCCCTGCATGGCGTCTGTGTCACAAGCTTGGCCAGGAAACTCATTTCCTTAGTGCAGCAAGACTATTTTTGGAACCTGGGAGGGTTCTGTGGTGGCAGCTGGGAGGCAGAGGTTTTAGGTTAAACAAGGGGTGAGGACAGCCACAAGGGGCAGAAGACAGGAAGTGGTGTTCTTGAGCAGTAGCCAGGAAGAGTAGGTCAGGACAGCTGTCAGCGGGGGAGTTAAATATGGTTAGAGAAATGGAAGTGAAAGCCTGTGATACTCTGGGCAGAGCTGGTTTGAGAGCAATGCCATGCTTAATAAATGAATACCTTTAACCCCGTGGTTCTCAACTGGGGCCCCCCTGGGGAGCCATGAGCAGGTTTCAGGGGTGCCACGGGGCATGCGGAACTGGCACGATCGTGATCTCCAAGGTCAGCTGGGGCAGCCCACACGCAGGCGGAGCCTACTGCCACTGCCAGGTTCATAGAAAAATACAGATTTTCTCCTTTAAAGGAGAAAATCACGGATTCTTCTTTACAGGAGAAAAATGCAGGAAACTGTGAGTTTCTCCTTGCAGACTGGCAGAGTTCCAGCCTGCTTGGGGCTGGGGGGAGCGGGAGGAGGCCAATACAGCAGGGGCACTGTGTGCATGTGCGTACATGCACACATACATGCATCAGCCAGGCAGCGGTGTAGAGCAGCTCCTCACAAGTAAGTTTGGGGAGCAGCAGGGGAACA